TTTTTTTTGTTGGGGTTTTTTTTTTTTTTTTTTTTTTTTTTTTTTTTTTTTTGTAATGTAAATATGAACACACACACTGACAGATACTGGAGAAAATGTACATTTTATACATGGAATTCCACACTATGGTGCTGAAGTTGGTATGGTGCACCCTGAGTTCAAGAGGGATAATTGGTCCTGTGTTTTATGCAGAAACAGTTAATTCTGATAGATATGTTAGGCAGATATTGCAGAAGCTTTTCATGCAGCTAACAGGATCCTGCAGCTGTGTGTACTGCCTTACATTTCATACAGATCCTAAAGAGTGTGTTTGGTGAAAGAGTTATAAATCATGGCTTATGACCAAAGGCCACCTTGTTCTCCAGACATCACTATGTAATTTCTTGTGGGGAAGTTTTAAAGATGAAGGCTATTGAACCAGTCCACGCATGGCAGTACTGCTCCTGAAAACTCCACTATTTGAAGTTAATGAAATCTTCATGGGCTGTCAGCTGTGTCATTTAGTTAAAAATCACTGCTTTTTTTTCTTTTCTTTTCTTACCAGAGAACATGTGTGCCCCAATCATCAGCATCTGATGTGACATTGGATCCAAACCATCCCACATACCTGCCTGTAGCCTGTGGTTGTGTATGAGTCAGGAAATGCTAGTGGGAATAGTCACAGATTTGCTAGGCAAAATTTTGTCTTAAGATTGGTGTATCTCTGTACTGCTTTATCATACTAGTAACCAGTTGCCAGAACTGACTGAGATTGAAACCTCCATCCCTGTTAAAGTTTCTGGGGTAAAGCCTGATCTTGATAGTCTCCCTTATCAAGCAATCCATGCATCCAATTGCTTTATATAGTATGGAGGTGCTACCAAAGTTGATACTGTGCTATGTTTAAAATCTTTGCTCTGTCACTGCTAACTTCTCTGGCTGGCCAAGGTGTATGTGCCTCATGTTTTCCTTACATGTAGTCGTGATGGTTCTGCCCATCTGTCTAGCATACATCTTGCCACATTCATGCGAGGTCCAGTACATACCTGTGACTTTTAGACCTAGTTTGTCCTTTATATGTCTAAGCATATGGATATTTTTCTTCACAGGAATGTGAATTGTGTTAATGTTGTATATACCCTACCCTATAACCTACTGATACTGGTGCGTGCCATCAGTCCTGACTCAGCCAGCGAGTTCGGCCTCTACTGGCTCAGCAGTATCTCGATGCTTCTGCCATCTACCAGAGGTGTTAGAGACTACTGTTGGGCGGGAAATGTCCTGAATTTGGCTCAGAGGTCCCCTTGAGACATGAGGTTCTTTTACGTGCCATAAAGCTACGACGTGGGACCCACGGCTTAAAGTCCCTCCCGGAGGACTTGTTCCCTGAATTTTTCCGCCGTTAAAAATTCCACGACCTCTGCCGGGTTTGAACCCGCACACCTTGAGTCACGAGGTGGGAACATTACCCCTAGACTATGGAGGCCGCTTGTAATAGATGGCGCTCAGACCTCATATGAAGGTAGAGGTCCATTTGTGTGAGTTTGCTATATGCACTATGGCCCAGCAAGCTGGCCTCTCTTCTGCTCACCTAAACATCTAAGAGAGATAGTGCCTTGTTCTGCTACTGGTTTGTATGTAAGTTGGATGGTTTGGTTCCATGTCACTTGAGATCCTGATGATGGGGCCATAGATGGTCTCTTAAAATTCAGTCATTAATCAGCTAATAGTCTACAAAGATTTCAGCCACCATGGAAGTTTAAGGTGTCACACTGATTGAAACATTCAGTGTATATAAGGAACAACAATAGTGTGTGAGCCAGAAACTATTTGCAGAGTGCAGAAAATGTGTACAAGCTGATGGGAACATTTTCACCATCTCCATTGATCTTGTCTGATGTAGATATGTGAACATCACAATACAAAGTTGCTGCATGTTCACTATGTCTGCTGCTGGCCAAGCAGGGAACAGAGTAATTGACAAAGTGTTTGGGCATAGTAATAGCAGGCATAATAATTCAGTTTGGTGAGGTTGTCCTTGAGGCAATGAACAGAACCTAGCACTTTCATCAGCATGCATGCCTCAGATAAATCTGTTGCTGTGCTTAATTTATTAAGCACAGTGCCATGAAGACATGGGGGAGTGGAGTGTAGCTCCACCATTGTTGACCTTGGCACTAGATGGAGGTGAGTGGTCAGCTTCACATCCTTGCCACTTTGCCCCAAGGTAAAAGCCAGTGGTACCCATTGGCTAGGAGGCTAGGTGGACCCCAGATTGAGTCCAAATGCTGTGGAGAAGAGAAAAATCTTGCCTGTACCAGGAATAAAACCCCAGTCATCCAGACCATGGCCTGCCACTGGACTGACTGACACCCCAAGTATAAGATAAATTTGATCCACTGACACCTCCCCCACCCTTCCATTGCAGTAAGAGAACTTCAGATCCATTGAGGTGTGCAGAATCTCAAAGAACACATTTGGAAAATATGTATATTCCATTGACTTACATCTGTACATACTTGATATTTCTTATGTGGTGTAAATTTCTTTGTTCCAGGCCCATGACAGCCCAGTAAGAACTATGGTGTGGTCCCATAATGATGTGTGGATGGTTACAGGAGATCATGCCGGCTACGTGAAGTACTGGCAGAGTAATATGAATAATGTGAAGATGTTCCAGGCACATAAGGAGGCAATCCGAGGTCTCAGGTACAGGCACTGCTCACTGCTACAAGCATAACACAACTGTTCACCCTTTCTTCATATCTTCATTCATTAGCCATCTCATTGCTCCTCACCATTCATCATATTTATTGGTAGTAATATTATGGTGACTTAATAATTGTTGTTGTTGATTTGGGAATAAAGGAAAGGATGCCCTTCCATTTCCTTAATCCATGAATTCCTGTGTTACAATAAGTCTGAGCGTATTGTCAGATGTTGTAGTGTGATCAAGTTCTCCAATACTAACCCCTTATGAGGGGTTTTTCTCATTTTTCCACCCACCTCCTCCTCCTAACCAATTGCAGATTACCACAAGACACTTCTGTTTGGTCCCTCTATCAGAGGAGCTTCTGTTGAACATGTGGGAGTTTATTATATATGCTACCTCAGCAGAATTCTGAAAACTGGCAAAGACTAAGAAGGTATTCAGTTTGTAACAAATGCAGTCTTCGTTTCTATTCTGTCTTCCTGGATTCATCGTCTGTGGTATGTCTTTGGGTGAATTGGGGTCATTATGAAATATGACCATATTTATTCAAACTTTTTTGTATTAGGTTTCCTTTGTATCCGTAATGTTTGCCTAAAACGGTATACAGTGCTATATTCTTGTAAGAACAGTTACAGATCTAAATTATTTTCCAGCCACAAATGCAAGATAGGTTCCTTAGTTAATTGTATGTGCATTCAGTGGTGTCCCATTATTTTAGTGTACAATATCTATTCTACAAAATTGAAAAAATCTGTATATTTTTAATATTACAGGTTGTTATTTTTGTAATATATTTCAGTTCAATTCAATTTTATTTCATCCATGAATCATTATACATGATATGGGACAAGTCAAAGATTAATATTAATACTAATACTAAATAGTAATAAGAATATAATAATACAGAAATAGTATGCCAAATTATAATAAATAATAATAATAATAATAATATAGTAATACAGAGATAATAATATGACAGTATAATTAGTCTTGAAAACAGTTTCTGTGGTCTTAAATCCTCCATATGTCCTATTGTACCTTTACTGGTGGTAATGCCTATGGAGATTTG